TTTTATTTTTCATTTATTAAATTTTGTATGATTACTATTATTTTATTTTAGTTTTAATTATTTTAGTACGTCAAGTTCAACTAAAAAATTGTAAACATTGACTTGGCAACTAGCTGAAATAAAATTATTTTACGTAATGGATTTTTTAACCCTATAATAACCTGTTATAATAATAACCTTGCACTATATGGACAAAAAAACGCAGAGATATTTTCAGGGCTTAAAGTTCTCTGGCACCTTGCCGGATGTCCGGCGTGCAGCGTTTGGCTGTGGAAAAAAATAATCCTACATTTAAAAAAACTTGTTGATATCACTTTCGAGTCTATGAGTTCGCCTACCAATGGTATGAGAGGAGCACAGCTTTCACTCTCAACCAAACTAACATTACTTGCCAATCAGAATTTTTTGCTCTATAAACACGAGACGCGCATAATAGTATCCAACTGCAGAGTCACAGCCCTGATGAATGGAGAAGCGCGACACATTGAAAAAGCTGCGAGGCACAATGTTCAAAGATGTCCATCTAGCGCATATTTACATATAATAACTAATTAAAAAGCAGCGCAGCGGAGCTTTGTAAACAGCTCAGAGTAATCACGTCATCTCCATAAGAATGATATGATTGCCAGAACAAATTTACCGGGATTTTTGAAAAGGTCCTGTTCACACATGATCTCTTAATGGTAACTTACCGGTAATTTACCAGTAAAGACTGTATGTGTGAAAGGGGCTAAACTCTTCCTCTGTATATGCTGTGAATTTGAATTGCTTAATGTTCATCTGGGAAAACTGTTCATCTGTGCATTTTCTCAATAGATTTGTAACGTAAATCATTTATAAACCTTTGCCAACACAGGAGAATACATCATATTTCTAAATATGCCATTTATTGTACATCGCGATTTCATAATAAAAGTTTCTGAGTTTGCATGTGGCCAAATATTAAAATTGATGGATGAAATGGATTTAATCACGCTGTAAAGTGAAACGTCACCAGGCCGTTGGCGCCCTCTGCAGGTATTTGTCATAATACATAATGTACTTAAGTTGGTTATGTTCATATTATGTATAGGCATATTAAAATACTTTATTTGAGCCAATTATTATTGCCTCATAGTTAGTTTATATATAAATAGTCATAATAAAGCCTGGTTTTCACTTAGGTCTATTTGTGTTACTAAAAAAATATCAGATTACTCAGTTGAGCTCAAAATAATCAGTAGATTACTTGATTACCAAAATAATCATTAGTTACAGCCCTAGATTAGTTAAAGTATTTCTAAATACAACTGCATTTTCAGGACAACCATATATTCATGAAAAAAAAACAGTTTGAATAAGGGAAGCAATAACTTTGTCATAGTATCCTTTCAAATGTTAAAGTTGCCACAGTCATTGCATGATTTGCATGTGCTGCCCCATCCCCTCCATCTGCCCCGCCCCCGGAAAAAAGTTCAGGCTCAGGATTTTTTTATTTTGCTTTAACCTCTGCATTTTTCAAAATATCTTATTTTGTGTTCCGCAGAATAAAGCCATACAGGTTCAGAACAACATGAGGGTGATTAAATAATGAGGGAATTTAAATTGTAGATGTTTGTTTGTTTGTTTGTTTGTTTGTTTGTTCGTTTATTTGTTTTCTGTTTGGCATTGTTTTGAGTGATTTGAAATTGTTTTCTCTTACTTTGTGAATTCTTTTTCAAAAGTTGATTGTTTTCTTTTGTTGTGAATATGGACATTCAATTTGTGGTTTATTTTTAATGTGATGTTCTCTTTTCTTTTGCTTGTAGGAGTGGAGTGCTTCCGGGAGCGGGCCGGGTTTTGACAGCACCACGGACATTATTTAACTCGGGGTGGCCATTTTTGTGTGTCACTATTGCTGTTACTATTTGCAGTGAGTCTTGTGCGTGTGATACGTGTTGGTGTGATTTTTCTCTTTTGCGTACCTGGTGCTGTTACATTCACCCGCTTCTCATATAGGAAGACTCCGCTTTCTACAGCATTATTATTTGGATGTTTTCTGTTGTCACCTATGACATTGGTGTGTGCCGGCTGTGGGTTTTAAATTAATATTAGCCCATTCTTTTAGCTTTAATAAAAGATTGTTCATACGGAGATTCACGCCTCTTGCTCTTTTCATGTGGAATGTATTTGCGTGTCCTTATTTGGGTTATTTTCCCCGGTATTTCGGGGTGGCGTAGTCGCTCCAAC